AAAAAAATACCAAGTAAAGTATATTGATAAATATTACTATTTTAATCTTCAATGTTTTCTGAACAAAAAGCAGTGGGGTGGGTGGCTCAGTGGTAGAATCTCGGCCTGTGGATCCAAGAGTCCCAGGTTCGAATCTCACCGTTGGCCGGGATTTTTTTATTTAATTTAAATATTTAAAATTAATTCTGATGACTTGGTAGGATTCCTCACTCGACCATTCATTGTTGGGTTCTAATTAACAGTGCTGTTCCTAAAGTGGCGCTGGGAAACAGTAACAAAGCCTAAAACAGTAACAAAGCCTACACAGAACACGAGGCTAATGGCCTTAGTAGTCGATGCCGATGACACCAAATTAAAAAAAAAGTCTTGTATTTTTCATTTTTTTTGTTTTCCAACAAATAAACATTCTAAATGTTTTCAAAATTTTGCCCCTCCCTATGGAATTGTGTAACGATGCCCATGATCATACATACATACATACATACATACATACTGTCGATATCACAGTGAAAATGTCGCTGTCATTATCATACATATTATTTCCAACCAAAACATGAGAAACCTTCATTTTGATACAATTTCATTAGTCTCTGTACTTAATAAATAATTTAACATGAAATTTAGGTTCGTTATTCTTGTTTACACAGTGTTAGTATTACTCATTCTAATTTTCCTCATCCCTTTTTCTTTCCCAGAAAATTTCCTCTCAATTTTATCGAACTTCATTATAACGGCAACTCGTTCCGAAATAAATTGGACATTATATATAATTTGGATCTTCTCTAAACTTGTTTGACTAATAAATTACAAAATTGTAATTTTATAAGTAAACTTTCGAAATTGATTCGTTCGGTTTAAAAAAGGCTTCTCATTTATCTTTTTTCCTAAGAAATTTATTAATATGTATTTTGGCTCGAGATTTAAGTTGCCATTGTTAAATAATAAAGATTCTTAAATTAATGATTTATTAAATATGAGGATAAATCGGAATGTTTCTAGAATGAACCAAAAGAAAGCGCTACACGCGTGTACTGGTCACTTATATTTTGTGCAGTTGTTGTGACACGTCTTTTGGCTTCACCTGCTGTGAAGTGGAAGTCGTGTTTGGCACTAAGGGTGGTAAACAAAATAAAGGCTTCTCAGACATGGGTTTTGATAACGCGCTATACTCTGCGATCCTTTTGTATAGTTAGAGTACACTCAAAATAGATTTACTGGAGTAAATTAAATTCCAGGTGGTCACTTGCAAATGGGGTATTAACTGAAACAACACAACACTGGTAATACCTACCCAAATGGTGTAATTATCTTGCACTGTTTTACCTTTAAGGTAATATATTTATATTGTTTTCAATATCAATAGGTTATCTTCTTATAAAGCTTCATTTATATTAAAAATTTCATGTTGATATCGCTTTTTGTTATTAATTTGGGATTTTTTTAAAATTTCAACTCATCTTAACCCCTTATTTTTAATCAGATTTGTTAAAAATCAATAGGCTTTGTCCCCTTATAGAGCTTGATTTTTGCTTAAAATTTTCAAGTTGATATCATTTCTCGTTTTTGACTTATCGTGCAGACAAAAAATCTGATGTGTCCAACACATGACTTTCCTATCTAGTTATTATACGCTTTTTCCGGTTATTTTGTACAACCTATTGCAGCATCTCTATAAATGGTTAGAGGATAAACTAAATATATACATTGTCCACATACATCTACCTCGAAACATTTTTATTCATTGAAAACGAAAATACTGAATAATTTAAATTTAGCACTTTTCCATTACGGTCCATTTTAGAAAAATCATGTATAAACAAAAATTATAGAGATCGATATCGCAAACAACTTTTAGTTCAACAATTTTCATAAAAATCAGAATTTTGCAATTTTGTCAAATTTCTCGAATACGGACCATTTCAGGAAATTTTGACATAAAACAAAAATTATAGATAATAATATTAGAAGTAACTTTTATTTGAACAATTTTCTTCTCCAAACATAAATAACAGATATATTCCATAAAATATAAAAATGACCTCCCATAAAGTACCCCCCTAGATGTTCCGACTTTGTCCAAAATCTAATCATTTCACGTCAGGCCGAAATAAACCTTAAATTTAAAATTTAATGTGTTTTTCTTTATCCGTTTTTGAGTTTTCTTCAAAATTCGAAATTTACATATTTTCTCAAAGATCTCGAATACGGTCCATTTTAGAGAAATTATGTATAAAATAAAAATTATAGAGAATTATATTACAAACAACTTTTATTTGAACAATTTTTATAAAAAATTATTTTTTTTATTTTGTCAAATTTCTCGAATACGGACCATTTTAGGAAAATTTTGTATAGAACAAAAATTATAGACGTAACTTTTATTTAAAGAATTTTCTTCTCCGAACGTAAATAACAGATATATTTTATAAAATATAAAAATGACCACCCATAAAGTACCCCCCCCAGATGTTCCGACTCTGCCCAAAAACTAATCAGTTCATTGGACGATGGAATAAAGCTTAAGTTTAAAATTTGGTGTTTTTCTGTGTATCGGTTCATGAGTTATGCAAAACACACACACACACACACGCACGCACGCACGCACGCACGCACGCACGCACGCACGCACGCACGCACGCACGCACGCACGCACGCACGCACGCACGCACGCACGCACGCACGCACGCACGCACGCACGCACGCACGCACGCACGCACGCACGCACGCACGCACGCACGCACGCACGCACGCACCCACGCACCCACGCACCCACGCACCCACCCACGCACCCACACACACACACACACACACACACACACACACACACACACACTTTCAGATCTTCTTCATTTTTAAAAATCGCTAAGGCGTCTCCGAGATGCAGTCTCCTACAAATGACGATAAAATTAGCTTTACCGACTAATTCCGTGAGCACTTTATTTTTTATTAATCAGTAAATTGTATAAATTAAATTTGTTTTTGAACTAATTATATACTAATTTCGTTTTTTCTTTGTGGGCTACAATTTTATTTGCGACATCCGACCGACTCAAAGACTTCAATTTTTTGATTTTGTATACGCCTCACATGACGAAAAATAAATAATCTCGTTCGAAACCTGATTAGGAATGTTCGTTTTCATGTTCAGCGACAAAATTTTCTCTCGACGTGCCTGAAATTCGGATCATCCGACTACAGATCAGGATTTGGGTTTCTTTTTGGACCCGATAAAAAATATTTCAAACGGAATAACTAATTTATTATATGTGTATTTTTTCTTATTTTTAATAATTTTTGTTAATTTGTAAACATTATTATACAGGGTATTATTAAAATACGTCATGTAGATTATAAACTAGGTTAACACTTAGAATCTCTTATAAAATGCAAAGATATTCTTTTAAAAAGTAATTGAAGAAGTAATTAAAGTTTCAAAATATGTATGTTAATTAAGGGGTGCGTCACTGAATTTGGAATAGATCGTGTACTAAGTCTTGGTCACCTGTAAGATTGACACCGCGTACCCTATAGTAGAATCGCAGTCGACACGGAGTAATAAATCAACATTTTATGAGAGTTTTACAGCACAGGTGGTTCAAACAAAATCTGTGATTTTAAAGAGCCGGCAGTTAAAAGGTTTGGTTTCATTAAGAATTTTACCTGTGCTGCCCGGTTTTGTGGAACATAAATAATAGGCTACCCTTATATTAATCCCTTTTAAGACTTTTATAAGCGCACGGTTGGGTAAATTAGGGGGTATTTGTTTGTATTATTTTTTTTATTACTATTTTATACTGAAATAATTTTAATTTAACTGCCGGGGTGCTATGATTATAATATTTAAAAATAAAATTTAAGAATTAATTGACTTACCTGTAAGGAAAATTGATCCTGATTTTCTGAGCTTGTCCTTGATATAATTACAACCTTTTAGTTTCCGTGAAACCTACTCATTAGTACCAACGTTTAAAGATATCATATACGGGGTGTTTAACGTTTTGCCTTAAAATTAGTCAAAGATTCACTGTTTAAAGTTTGTACAAGTACTTAATAAACACCCACTGTATATTTAATAAAAAGTTTATTAGTCACCCGGCCGGACTCTCTTATCACAACTAACCCGTTCTTCATTCCTTTTTGAGCTACCTTTCAAAATTGCTCAAGAGGTAATAGGGATGGGTGGGTTTGTAATTATATCTTCGGACAAGCTCGGAAAATCAGGATCAATTTTCCTTACAGGTAAGTCAATTAATCCTTAAATTTTCATTCGCTTCTCCTTGATATAATTACAACCATGTAGATGTATTAAAATATCTTCGAATATATTTGTAAACAGTTGTATATTTGATTTTGGTGATCTGTATACAACAGAAAGTGCCTATTTTATTCCATCAAGTTTAAATTTTATCCACAAGTGCTCTAAGAATTCAAAGTTATCACATATATGTAAATTATATTTTATATAATCCTTTATATAGATTCCTACACCACCCCCTAGTTTAGTTGTTCTATCAGACCTAATAAATGAATAGGTGTTTATCTTTAATACATTATAATCTATGACAGGGGTTAACCACGTCTCAGAAACACAGAAAATATCATAATTTTTAGTATATAGGATGCTTTTGATTTCATTTAAGTTTGGTACAAGGGAACAAACATTAATAAACTTTACCTACGTGCATTAGCACATTTCTATGTATAAAGATAATTATTCAGTTAAAAAGTGGAAATAGGAAATATAAAACATTTAATATAAAAAGCTTAAATAGATAATTAAGAATTAAAAACAAATACGAGGGCCATACACATATTTTACAATCACTTTTGTGAACTACTGTTAGACTTTGAGGCGATTCTTTCACTTTTCTTCGTCGAATCCTTTCTTTTATCCGCTGCTCTTACGATGGGTTTCTTTACGGTAGATATTTTTTTTGTAATTTTATTAGGCTGGATATTACTGTTGGGAATGGAGTATGCACCTTGAAGTTCGTTTGAAGTTACGGTTTGGTTTCCAATATTTCAGGCTGTTGTACATTAAGATCAATGTCACTATCGTTATCAAAAACATTTAACGAGGGTGTACCTGGATTACTTGCAATATTTCTTTTTGGTGGTGGAGAGAATTCTTGATCAGATTTTTGAAAGTGTTTTTCATCCAATATGTCCTTTGTCAAGTAATACGTCTCTTCTATAATTATGCCGTTTCCTTTGATTACAGCCTTTTTTTGATGAGTTCTTGCCATTCTTAAAGTTTCTACCAGGATTTTTATGTCTTCCTTATCCTCTTCTATTAGAACTTCACTTATTGCAATACCAGTTCCTTTTAGTTTCCTTGCACTTCAGAAAACTTCTTGTTTTTTCAGGGTTGTTACGAAAGAAAGAAAAACTGGACGATTGTGCTCTTTATTTTTTCCTACTCTATAGATATTGTTGATCTCAAGTGGCGTAAGTTCGACTGTTATAGTTGTGTTTATTAGGTGCAACACCTCTTTCAGTAGTTTAGGTTGAGTTTCCCCTGTTTGTTCTAATAATCCATAAATAAATATGTTATTATTTTTAAGTTTTCTCTCTATATATTTAATTTTTGCTTTAAGTAGTCTATTTTCGTCTTCCAAACTATTGGCTTTCTCCTTTAAATCTTTAATCTCGTAATCTACAGATTTTTTAAGACACCTTATCTCGTCCTGGACGTCATCAATCTTTTTTCCTAAGTTGCTTTCTATATTTTTTAATAAATTGTAAACATCTTGAGTTGTAGCAGACTGAGAGCTCATTCTAATTTTTGGAATATCCTTTGTATATATCCGCACTGATTTGTACAGAATAATTCAACAGGTGTAAAATGAGATTTTACTTACTAATTAGAAAATAGTGGATTTTCTTGATGTGAATATTCAATCACCATTTGTTTCAATCGACTTTAGAAGGCAGATTTTTACAAACACACACGTAACTTTCACTTATTTTTATTTATTATTAGTCACTTTGATTCGGTGTTAAACGAGGATATATTAAATTGATGTAGCGTGCTCAGCAGTCGATATACAACCTGAATTTAAAAAGGATGTTCACTTTATCCAATAATTTTATCGTTTATAAGTTCGATTCAAAATTTTACAAGTTTAAAAATGTTTATTTTTGTTTCAGGTAAGTCCAAATAGTATTTTCTGTAGAAAGAAACTATTATTAATTATCTACATTTTTGGTAAGTGTTTTAAAAAATTTCACGTATTGTTAAATTTGGTGAAAAAACTTAGATTTTTATATTATGTCCGCCAGTAGCGAGTTGTAGTAATTTAAAAAGGGTTTTTACTTTTTGCAATAACACTAGTTTACAAGGGTTTTGTCCTTGAAATGAAAAATGTTTTTCTTATCATTCAAGATGCACCGAGTTTAAAAAAAATATGAAAAAAATCACGTCACGTTTTCAAAATATTTATTACGTTTTAGCTTTTTTCTTGTATTTATTTGTGTCTGTGTCTTTAATAACAGACCAGCAATAATCACCTAACATGGCTTGGTCCCAGTATCCTTCATAACTTTGTTCAAAAAATTTTAAATCCTGATGAAAACGCTCTCCATGTTCGTTGCTGACTTCTCCGAGGTTTTCAGGGAAGAAATCGAGGTGCAAATAAAGGAAATGAATTTTCAGAGACATGTTGACACCTATTCGTTGAAAATTATGTAATAAATCAGCAATTGACTGTCTGTAATTTTAATTTTTTTTTGTTGCATAAAAACTCTTTTATAACAATTCGTAGTGAATCCCAAGCAGATCTTTCAGTATCAGTAAGACTGTTTTCAAATACCTCATCCTTCAACATTTTTTTGATTTGCGGTCCGATAAAAATACCTTCTTTCAGTTTCGCCGCAGAAATATTAGGAAAAATTGAGCTTAAATGCTTAAAAGCTACGCTAGTTTTATCTAAAGCCTTGACAAAGTTTTTTACCAATCCTAATTTTATATAAAGCGGTGGTAGAACAATTTTTTGTGGATGTATTAGATATTAATGCTTTATATTCAGTTTACTAGGGCTATATTCTTTTCTAACTGGCCAATCTATCTTTTTATAATGATCTTGTTCGGCTCGCGAATCCCACAAACACAAAAAACAACAATATTTTGTATAACCACCTTGTAAGCCCAAAAGTAAACCCTCAACTTTTAAATCACCGCAGACGATCCAATTGTGATCTTTGTATTTAATAAGTTCAATTAGTGTTGACATCGTTTCATATGTTTCTTTGGTATTTACTGCGTGACCTATCGGAATAGAGGGCTTCTTGTTGCCGTTTTGTAGAAGGAGTGATTTTAAACTAGTCTTCGATGAATCAATGAATAACCTTTATTCTTCTGGCTTATAAGGTTGCTGCATTTCTTTGAAAAGCCCATATATCATAACAGTAACAAAATTGCACTTCTGATAAAACACTATAGCAACTGCGCAACCTTCATGTCTTGTTAGAATATTTCGTTTTATTTCGACCACCATACTAGAATAATCAGATAATAAAATTTCTCCAATCTAAACGAAGCAAAATTGTCTAAAACCTCTCGTAAATTATTTACCATTTTTTCAGTAGTTGTAACCGGCTGAAACAAAATTTTCTAAGATCTCTCGTATATTACTTCCTGTTTTGTTGTCAGTGTAACCGGTTGGCTCTGTTAGCGCAGCCTTGAACGCCTGAAAATTTTTTATCCGACGAATAATAACAAGGAAAAGAAGCTGTAGTAATTAATTCTTGATTAAATATGACGTATTTAACTCTGCAGCCCTGTGTTGTTATTCCGCTTTTTGACATGAGACCTCATTCTGTTCCGGACAGAACTCATTAAATTTATGAAGGTAATTTTTCTTTCCATTTTCATCCTTCTAAATTATATCAGTTTAAATTATTGTTTACAGCTCCGAAGGGAAATGTTTATCACCAGAATTTAATGTAATTTAGGTTAATAAAGAGTCATTGCGGTGACAAATTAACCTTATTTTATATGAAATGTATACTCAGGTCAACAAGGGACCGAGAACAGTGAAAAGTCTGACAAACTAGCAAAAAGACTGGGTTTGGTGTAAAAACAACAATTATTGGGAAAGTGTCCTAACACAAGCACATGGCAAAACTTTCATAGGAAACCAAGAATACTTTTTGTGATTAAGAAAGAACCAGTTGTAAACAATAATGGAGACCTATTGAGACAAGAAACCACAAATAGCCGGACATAAACATGTTTTAAACAACCACAGATTGATTCAATAACCTATAGAACACTCAGTCAAACTATACAATAATCAAAGGTATTATACAGGGTGGACCAATCTTGTGGAAAAGTTCGATATCTTCCTTTTTGAAAGAGATATTAAAAAAGTATATTAAGAAAATTATGGACATGTTTGAGGTTAACATTTTAAAATTATTGGGAGGTATACAGGGTATTACATAGCTCGTGTACGAACCAAACATATGTTTTTTTAATGATAACCCCAGTATATTATTTTAGATTCTGTTTACTCATCTTTTTTCCATTCTTCTAATATATAGTTTGTTTATGTTATATAGGGTACTTTTCAAGGAATTGACATTTTTGTGAGAGAATCGTACATTCAACGTCCACCAGCCAATTACACACTGTAGAAAAAAAAATTTTTACCCACACGAATTTTATAATATGATGTATTATACTTTTTTTTAGTTATATTTTTATTATCTGTTTATTTGTATACTGGGAGATTCAATACTCAGACCCTTGATTTTCTTGTTTTATTTAAATGGACACCCTATATTTTATATCACCAGTAAAATCATCTGTTCCAAGTCTTTCATTTTTATAAAGCATTCCCTATACCTAAAGTTAATATTTATCGATATTTTTTTACAATAAATGAAAATTATGGTTATTTCGATAAATTAAACTAGTTTTTCATAAAATACTCTTTATAAACAATTATAAATAATATGTGTTATTTTTTATCTAGTTGCCAATGTATTTGATATACCTGTCACCGTCCAGTTGACAATTTTGACATTTTAAAAATCAAAAGCAACTGCCTGTGTGTTAATGTTTTAAGTAAATTACTAATAATAAAATGAACAATACGAATTTTTCTATCCTAGAAATGGTGGATATGATTTATATACTAGGTGAGTGCAACAAGAATTCTTTACTTGCCTCCAGAGTGTACCACCAACGATATCCGGAACGCTGGAAACCAATTAAAAAGGCGTTTGAAAAACTAATGGACCGTTTTAATCGTACTGGTACTGTATCATACGAGCAAAAACGAGTAACAAAAACTGGTATCACGGAAGAGAATAAAATGAAAGTATTGTTGAGTATTTATGTTAGTTATGTTACTCTCGAGAAAAAGACTCGAGAGAAAACCAACTCCCGAGAGAAAAAGTCTCGAACGAAAAACAGCTTCTAAAGAAAAATAAGACGTTATTTTCCAGGAAAAAGATCTCGAGAGGAAACCACCTGCGGAAAAAATAAGGCTAAAGAGAAACAAATCCAACTCTCAAGAAGAAAAGATCCAGAGAAAACCACTTCTCGTGGAAAAAAGACTCGAAAGAAAACCTCCTCTCGAGGAACAAAAACTCGAGAGAACGCCATCTCGCTAGCAAACAGACTAGAGAGAAACCCACCTCTCAATGAAAAAAGACTCGAAAGAAACCCACCTCTTGAGAAAACAAAAACGTTACTCTCAAAGACAAAAAACTCGAGAGAAAACTACTTCAAGAGAGTAAACACTCGAAAAAATCCATTCAAGAACAACCTCTCGAGGAAAAAGACTCGAGGGAAACCCAACTCTCGAGGAAAAAAGATTTGAGAAAATCATCTGTTGATAAAAAAAAAATAAATTAAACCCACCTCTTGAGAAAAAAGTTACTCTAGAGGAAAAGACTCGAGAGAAAACCAACTCCTGAGACAAAAAGACGAGTGGGAAGCCGCTTCTGAAGAAAAATAAGAGTTAATCTTGAAGAAAAAGGACTCGAGAAGAAACAACTTTTTGAGAAAATAAGGCAGTTACGGAACTGTTTAAAGAATCCTATCAAAACATCAAATGCATCCTTTCCATATCCAGTTACATCAAGAACTTCTTGAACGGGATTTTGATAATAGAGTGATATTTTGTGAATGCTCCCAACAAAAAATTAATCAATAAAGAAATTTCTTTGATTTTGTGCTCTTTGGTGATAAATCGACTTTTCATAAAAATGGTGGTTTAAATAGGCATAATTTTCGCTATTATTCTACAACAAACCCACGCATTATAGTCACTCATAGCCAAATGAGGTGGTCATTAAATGTTTGGGGTGGCATTGTGGGTGATTATGTGATAGGGCCACACTTTCTTGAAGGACGAATAAATAGTGCAGTATATTTGGATTTCCTTGAAAATCATTTGCCTACGTTACTCGAAGATGTTCCCCTTCACATTCGCCTACAAATATGGTTTTTGCACAATTGTGCACCAGTTCATCACACTGTAGTAATTCATAATTATTTAAATAATCACTTTCCAAGACGGTGAATCGGAAGAGGAGGACCGATAGGGTGGCCAGCGCGATCATCGGATTTGACAAAAATTGATTTTTTTCTGTGGGGTTATGTAAAAAACAAAGTATATAATGTGCCTGCAACGACAAAAGACGACATAAAAACTCGAATCAGAAATGTATTTCAAAGTATTGATGTTCAAATGCTGAGAAACGGTATTAGTCAAATTCTAAGCCGAACTTCACCAACCCTGCTGAGCATGGCCGAGGGTAACAA